ACTTAAACTTTGTGCCTCAGTTTTCTCGTCTGTAAAATGGGATCAATGAGAGTACCTACCTCTAGGGTTGTTGTGAGGATCAGTATTTGTAAAGTACTTAGAATACTGCCTGGCATATTATATTAATAGCAAATACCTTGTAGCAAATTCTCCAGTCCCAGACACTGTTCTAAGCTCTTTAATATACTCATTTATCTAGTCCTCAAAGCAACCCTCTGAGGTGGGTGTTATTGTTATCCTCATTTACAGCTGAGGAAACTGAGGTTAAGTAACTTGCTCAAAGTCACCCAGTTAGTAAGCTACAGAACTAGGATTCAAACCCAGGGAGCCTAGGTTCAAAGTCTGTGCTCTTAACCATTACATAGCACTGCTCAATAAATACTTATTTATTGAAATAATAACTAGTGGTGAATATCTGATGGTGGGAAAATATCTGTTTATCTGAGAATGTCTATTTTTCCCTTGTTCTTGTAAGATAGTTTTGCAAGGCACGTAATTCTGGGTTTGGAGATGTTTTCTTTCAGCATTTTGAAGATGATCGTCTGCTGTCTTCTGATTTCTAGTTTGTTCCTGTCAGTCTAATTACTGATCTTTTGTAGGAAATATGTCATTTCTCTTTGAAATGCTGTTAAAATCTTAATATTTTTGTTGTTCTGCAGTTTCACTACAATTTGTGTGTGTATTTTGTTTTTGTAATTTGTCCCAGTTGTTATACATTGTGCTCCTTACACCTACAGATTCATGTTTTATCTCAGTTCTTGAAAATTGTCAGCCATTATCTCTTTTTTTCTTTTTAAAAAGTGTAAATGTATTTTGAGTAGGTAATATTTTTAAATGGTTTACTACTTTAAACTGTGTATTTTTTCCTTCCACTGTTGTTTCCCAGTCACCCAGTGCACAGTGATATTATCTCCTCAAATATGTTCTTTCCTTCATCTTTTCATTCTGAGACTACATATGCTAATCTTTCTTAATCCACCCTATAACGCTTGGCCTCTCCTTCCCCTTAGCTCTCTGTGCTGCATTCTGGATAATTTCTGATCTCTCTCCACCTGTCTCTAATTTGCTGTTTTAGCCTATCTGTTGAATTTTTTTTTAATTAATAGAGTTTATTTTTTGAGCAATTTAAGGTCTACAGAAAAACTGAGTGGAAAATACAGAGTTTCCATGTAAGCCCACCTCCCTCCACCCGCAGTTCCCCCTATTATTAACGTCTTGCATTGTTGTGGTACATTTGTTACAATTGATGAGCCGGTATTGATACATTATTATTAACTAAAGTCCATGGTTTACATTAGGGTTCACTCTTTCTGCTGTACATTCTGTAGGTTTTGACAAATGTATAATGACATATATATTAATTTGCCAGTGCTGTCATAACAAATACCACAGACTTGGTTAAACAACAGAAATTTATTTTCTCACGGTTCTGGAGGCTAGAACTTCAAGATCAAGGGGTTGGCAGCATTGGTTTCTTTTTGTAGATGGCTGTCTTCTTTCTGTGTCTTCACATGGTCTTCCCTCTGTATGTGTCTGTGTCTTGATCTCTTTTTGTAAGGACATTAGTCATATTGGATCAGGGCCCACCTAATGACCTCATTTTAACTTAATTACTTAAAGATCCTGTCTCCAAATACAGTCACATTCTGAGGTACTGTGGGTTAGGACTTTAACATATGAATTTGGTGTAGAAGACACAGTTTAGCCCATAACAACTATATCTGCCATTACAGAATCATACAGAATAGTTTCATTGCCATAAAAATTGCATGTTCCACCTATTCATCCCTCCCTCCCCCTTGAACTTTTGGCAGCCACTGATTGTTTTTACTGTCTCCATAGTTTTGCTTTTTCCAGAATGTCATATAGTTGGAATCATATACTGAATATATCACCTTTTCATATTGGCATCTTTCACTTTGCAATATGCATTTAAGCTTCCTTCATGTCTTTTTGTGGCTTAATAGCTATTTTTATCACTGAATATCCATTGACTTTGTATTTCAACAATTATGTTTTTAATTTCTTTCTTTTTTTTTTAAAGCTTCAGTGCATAGTTGCGTATCCCAGTTGTTAGTTTAGTTCTCTATGTGAGCTGCAGCCACAGTATGACAACTGACAGACCAGGAAACAAACCTGGGCTGCAGTGGTGAGAATGCCGAATCTTAACCACTGGATCACCAGGGCTGGCTCTGTTTTTAATTTCTAAAAGTTCTATTTGGTGCCTTTACAGATTTACCTATTTCTTTTGTGTGTTTTTGCATGCCCATTTTTGTGACCCCCCCCCATGTGTTATTTCTTTAAACATTTATACATAGTTATTTTTGTATCCTTTGGCTGATAATTCTAATATCTGAAGTCCTTAGGGGTCTGAATCTATTGGTTGCTTCTGCTGACTCTTCCTTGTGGTGACTTGTTTTTTTACATGTTTGGGGATCTATGACTGTAATTTATAATGGTTGTTCGTCATTGACTATCTTGGAGGCCTAAAATGAGGAGTGCTTTCCTCCAGAAAGGTTTAGCATTTGATTCATATGGAAACCAGGGGGTACTACTAACCTGGAGGCATTCTAGTCTCCTTTGACAGTTGAGTTAATATGGAGTCTCAGGTTCACCTCTTCCATTTTGCCACGTCGTAATGGACATTTTCTTTCAGGTCAGCCTTATCTTTTGCTTGTTGCTCACTGTTCCTCATTTGGTTTTAGCTTACTTTGTGTTTATTGCCCAGTGAGTACATTTTGAAAGTCCGTTTTATCTGGGATGTCATCATTTCGCAGTGGGATATCCCTCCAGACTGTCTAGTCAGGCATCCTGCCAAAGCAGGATTCAGTTGCATGAGTTTAGGTATTGACAGATAGAATGATGTTGATCACATTAGGCACCTTCCAGTTCTCTGGGGCATCCTTCTGATTTCACTCTCACTTAATCATTCACTCTTCAGGATTAGACTTTGGGCCCTAGGCAATTGACACATTTTCTCTTGGCCAGCAGCCCATGCTGTTGGGAATGAAAAGTGATGATGGTTGGTTTGGATACTGTCTCCAGGTGCTAATCTGGATGAGCTGTTTATTTCCCTGTGGTAACGCTGATAGAAATTTGAATTTATTTCTGGGGAAGAAAATCCTGGAAGAGAGCATAGTAACTAAAAATGATAAAATTAAAGGTTAAATCCCAGCTTGACCATTTACCAGCTATGTGACCTACTACAGGTCTTTGAGTCTCAGAAGTCTCAACTGTAAAGAATAACAAAAGCTGCTATTTACTGATCATTTATAATATGCTAATCACTGTGCTAAGTTATATATATATTTCTTACTCAATATTCAGTAACAATCTTAGGAGATATAGCCATTATTATAACTATTTTAGTGATGATAAAGCAGAAGAATAGAGAGGTTAAGTAAAAAAGGGTTATTGTTAAGGCCAAATTTAAATGAGGTAGCGTGTGTGGTGCACCAGACATATATAAGGTGGTCAATAAATAACAGCCAACATTATTAAGTTCAGTAACATTTTCAAGATATAATATTAAGTAATTTATGTGATATGGCCTAAATAATATCCATTTACTCAATAAATATTTATGGAGCACTTACTATGGCCATGTGTAGTGCCAGATGCTAGGGAAACAGGAAGGAATCAGATAGATATGGTCCCAGCCCTTAGGGAATTCCCTTTAGAGTGAGGGAGACAGATGCATAAACACTTACAGTTCAGCCTGGCAAGTGCTGTGATGGGGCAAGAATAGTGTGCTTCGGGAGTCAGGGAAGATTTACTGAAAGAAATGTCCTCTAGGTTTATACCTGAAGAATGATTTGGAGGTGAGGGGGGAAGGAAAGGCAGAGGAAGCAGTGATTATCAAGGCTGGAGCCAAGAGAGCACATTCTGCATTTAAGGAAATGAAAGTAGTTTTGTGTGTACGTTTCTAGGAAAAGTGTGGAAAGTGAGCCTGGAGAGGTAGGCAGGTGCCACATTGTAAAGGGTTTGTAAGCCCTACTACAAGAGTTTGACCTCTCTCTTTAGGGCATCGGAAATCTTCTGAAAGGTGTGATTTTTAAAGATCACTCTGGTTGAAGTGTGGGAAATAGTAACGAGAATAGCTTTAAATATATTATCTCATTTAATCCTTACACCAACACCTGCAGGTGGGTATTATTATCTTGATTTTACAGAGAAGAAATTGGAGGGCTTACTTCATTCACACAGTTCACACATTTTATAGGAAGTGGAGTCATGTACCCATTTCTTTCTGACTCTAAAGCTATATTGCTGTATTGTCTCCAACTAGTAACGATTTGTTGTGACCTGTTTTATTTTTACTCTATGGAAAATTCTCATTCATTCTTATACTATTCTTTGCATGCTCTGTGTTAGTTTACAAAGCATTTCACAGCCTTTAATTTAATCTCCTTAAAAACTATAAATTAGGGGCCGGCCCGGTGGCGCAGCGGTTAAGTTCGCACGTTCCGCTTCTCGGCGGCCCGGGGTTCGCTGGTTCGGATCCCGGGTGCGGACATGGCACTGCTTGGCAGCCATGCTGTGGTAGGCGTCCCACGTATAAACTAGAGGAAGATGGGCACGGATGTTAGCTCAGAGCCAGGCTTCCTCAGCAAAAAGAGGAGGACTGGCAGTAGTTAGCTGAGGGCTAATCTTCCTCCAAAAAAAAACAAACAAACAAACAAACAAAAAACTATAAATTAGGTGATGTTATTTCCATTTTACAGGTATGAAAACTGAGACTTGAGGTATGGGACTGTCTCTGGTTCTATACACCTAGAAAGGGGTGGAGCCTGGACTTAAACACCATGCTCTTGACAGAGGAAAGCCGACTTTATGAGTATCTTGTGAACAGGCCACACTTCTTTCATGGGTCTTTGCCTTTTGTTCATGTGTGAATGTTTATAAGGCTCTTTCCTTCCAGGTTTTGGAGATCACATTCACTGGAGGACACTAGAAGATGGGAAGAAAGAGGCAGCTGCCAGGTACAAGATATGGTTTTAGGTTATTTATGGTGGTAAAACACTTTCCAGCCATCAACTTAGCGTTAATTTCAGGCAAAGGGTTATGCCAAGGCAGAGCTTGAACTTAGTAGTTGCCTGATAACAACAACAACAACAATAATACTAACATTTATTAAGTGCTTACTATGCACCAGACATTGAATTATGTGAAGTAACTTGCCCAAGGTCACCCAGCTAGTAAGTGGTGGAGCCAAGATTCTGACCCAGGCTCTCTGGCTTCAGAGCCTGCGCTCAACCAGTAAACTATACTGCTTAATTAATAGTCTCAAGTTGAATAGTCTCAAGTTCCAAGGAGGTTTAGCCTATACACAGACAATTGATACAAAGGAGGAGAAAAGGCAGGGGAGGGGAGGGAAGGCTAAACATTGATCTAAGTGCTTTATCTGCATTAATTTATTTAATCCTCACAACCTATGATGTTAGTTCAGCCTGTAAAATAAGAACTGTTGTTGTTCTTATTTTACAGGAGAGGAAATTGAGACACAGAATGTTTGATTAACTTGACAGTAGTTTACAGCTAGTAAGTGCCAGAGCCAAGACGTGAATGTTCTCTACTATACTGTACTGGAGAGATACAACGACCCAATATAAGTGCACCTACTTTATACACCCACATACTTGCACAGAAATACTCACACTTCTGCACCCACCAAATGATAGTGCTTGCTTTTGCTAGGGCAGATCCCACAGCTTCATGGCTCTGAGTCTCACACCTTCTGCGGGAGTAGGGTTGCCTGATTCAGCCAATAAAAATAAGGATGCCCAATTAAATTTGAATTTCAGGTAAACAATAAGTAATTTTAAATATACCCCATGCAATATTTGAGACATACTTATATTAACAACATTTTTTTGTTGTTTACCTGAAATTCAAATTTAACTAGGCATCTTATGTTTTGTCTGGCAGCATTCTCAAGGGAAAAATTCCTTAGTTTTTCAAGTTCTAAGTCAAATGACTCTTCTTAAAGTCTTCAGCGATTTTTCTGGGCAGTTTGTTTTTCTCTTCTGTACTTTTACAACCTAACCTACGTCTATCCATTATAGTATATATTATTCTGCTTATAGGTGCCTAACTTCCCATTTGACCCTTGACCTCCTTTGGGGAACTGTTTTATGTTCATCTGTAAATCCCCAACCATGGAGATGCTGAATGATTGAAATGGTTATTGAATAAACAGTTACTGAGAGTCACTGGGTATAAGGAATGAAGAGGAACTAGCATTCGTGAATTGTCTTCTATATGCTAAATTTATAGTGCCGATTGTTTTGCAATATTTAATGCTCATTAAGGCCCCATTATAAATGGATGAGCATAGTCTGGCGGAAGGGAAATCACATTCTCCTGAGGCCTTTAACATTTGACTAAGTAACTGACGCCATTCCAGCCTCCATCTCCTTTCTTAGAGCGCAGGATCTAGGTCTAATTGGCGTAGAACTCCTGTTTCCATAGCAACAAGAGGTCCTTAACGGGTCAGGGGAAGCAGGAAGTGCAGTTTGCACTTCCGGTTTGCGTCGGGGACGCCGACAAGCCGGAGGTTGACGCGGCGTGGCTGCACATGGCCGCGTGGCGGGAGGATGCCGCTCGTGGTGTTGTGCGGCCTGCCGGGCAGCGGCAAGAGCCGGCGCGCCGAGCAGCTCCTCGGGGCGCTGGCGGCCGAGGGCCGCGCGGTGCACGTGGTGGACGACGCGGCGGTGCTGGGCGCGGAGGACGCGGCGGTGTACGGCGATTCGGCCCGGGAGAAGGCGCTGCGCGGCGCCTTGCGAGCCGCGGTGGAGCGGCGGCTGAGTCGCCACGATGTGGTTATCCTTGACTCGCTGAACTACATCAAGGGCTTCCGCTACGAGCTCTACTGCCTGGCGCGCGCGGCGCGCACCCCGCTCTGCCTGGTCTACTGCGTCCGGCCAGGCGCTCTGGGCGGAGGCGCTCTGGGCGGGGGCCCTCGGGTAGCGCGCGCGGAGGAGACCCGGAGCCAGACCGTCAGTGTGAGTTGGAGGCCGCACGCTGAGGAGGGAGGGAGCCATCTGGCGGCGGGCGCCAGTGTCCGCCGGGAGCCGCAGGCAGTGCAGTCGGTAGTAGATGGGAGAGCGCAGGGAGACGCACCTAAGGAACTGGAGCGGGAGGAAACCAGCGCGCCAGATCTTCCAGCTCTCGTGACTCCAGAATTCGAGAAATCTGCAAATCATGTGTCCAGTGCCTTTTACCCTCCCGAACTTCTGGAGGCCCTAACGCTGCGCTTCGAGGCTCCCGACTCTCGGAACCGCTGGGACCGACCGCTATTCACCTTGGTGGGCTTAGAGGAGCCGTTGCCTCTGGCAGACATCAAGGCTGCCTTGTTTGAGAACCGGGCTCCCCCACCCCATCAGTCTACACAGTCCCAGCCCCTTGCCTCCGGCAGCTTTCTGCACCAGCTGGATCAGGTCACGAGCCAGGTGTTGACGGGACTGATGGAAGCTCAGAAGAACGCTATCCCCGGAGACTTGCTTAAGCTTCCCGGTACCACGGAGCACCTGCGGTTTACCCAGCCCTTGACCATGGCAGAACTGAGTCGCCTCCGTCGCCAGTTTATTTCCTACACCAAAATGCATCCCAACAATGAGAACCTGTCTCAACTGGCCAACATGTTTCTGCAGTATCTGAGCCAGAGCCTTCTCTAACCAGAGGGGTTGGGGGAAAACCATGGCGCTCTATCTAGCCTCCACTGCGCTGTTTCTCTGGCAAGAAGAATCTGAAGGTCTGTAGAGTTTATTGATGTGCGGTACTAGAGCTGTTGTGACTGATTCACTCACGCCTTCCTGAATGCCTCTGTGCCAGACCTGGAGGTTACAGCATAAATTTGGAACTAGAGAGAATGGAGAACCAGTTTGGAGGATCTTGGCAGATTTCTCCAGAGGACAGAGTTAAGTGGACAGGCCTTGCTTAGATTGGGGTCTACTTGAGATATTGCACACCTCTGATTTTCCGCATCTAAGTTGTGGGAGAACAAACCGGATGGATGAATTGTTTCAAAAGAATTGTGAACAGTAACTGAGGATGGCCCAGTTCTGTATCTGCACTGGCCCTTCTTTCATACAATAGTTTTTTGAGTACCGTGCATACTTTTTGCTAATCTCTATCCTGGGGCCTGGGCTCACAGATAAATCTACAAATTTCTGTCCTTGGGAAGCTTTGGTTCTAGTGAAAGTGAAAGACTGAACCACTAGATTATTTCATCTAATAAAATCTTTTAGAAGAACGTCTGCTGGAATCTCTTTTACTTAATGTTCTTCATGTAATTTACTTAATTTAACATTTTAGATACACGTGTATCACTATTATGCCTTTGACTGAAATAGTACTTTGATAGTGCATAGTGAGAGACTAGATGTTTTGGTCCAGCCTAGAGTGGTTATATTATGACAACTTCTGTAACTTCTGCTTCATTTTGTATTTCAAGGCAAATACCACTTTAAGCTTGTGTTTCATTCCTTCATTGATTTCATTAAACAAGTGGTAAATGCTTCCCTTACCAATACTTGTGATTTTCAAAGATGAGTTAGATGCAGTCTTTGCCCTTGAGAAATTGTTTGGTGAGAAATATAGACAAGTAAACTGATGATTCCAGGGTGGAAAGGGCTGGTGGTTAGAGGACGAGGACAGAATGCTTTGGGAACCCAGAGGAGGAAAGGAGTAAGTAGGTGTTGAGAGAAGGTGGTTTTGGGAAGTCTTCACATTTGAACTGTCACTCTAGAACAAGGGTCAGCAAAGGCCATATAGTAAATATTAGGGTCTCTGTTGCAGCTTATCAACTTGGCCATTGTAGCACAAAAGTAGCCGTAGACAGTAAGTATACAAATGAGTGTGAATGTGTTTTAATAAAACTGTGTACACTGAAATGTGAACTATATTTAGTTTCAACATATCACAAGGTACTATTCTTTAGATTTGTTTTTCAGCCGTTTGAAAATGTAGAAAACATCCCGTATCTCAGCCCTACAGAAGCAGGCAATAGGCTAGATCAGGCCTATAGACCATAGTTTGCTGACCTCTGCTCTGGAAGGATCAATAGGAGTTTGATTGGGAGAAAGGGAGCAAGACGTTCTGATCTGCTCTGTTATTTCCTGGACTTGTTAAGAGGATGGGCTGCTTTGGGTGGTGATGTATTTCTTGCTCATCAGGCAATCTGGGCCACCTTCTTGTTTCTTTTTTTTTTTCTTTTTCTCCCCAGAGCCCCCCGGTACATAGTTATATATTTTAGTTGTGGGTCCTTCTAGTTGTGGCATGTGGGACGCTGCCTCAGCGTGCTTTGATGAGCAGTGCCATGTCCGCGCCCAGGATTCGAACCAATGAAACACTGGGCCGCCTGCAGCGGAGCTCGCGAACTTAACCACTTGGCCACGGGGCCAGCCCCGCCTTCTCGTTTCTGATGTAAGAGAGGCTTCCTGTGTAAGATGGAGATTTGGACTAGGCAACCTCTAAGGCCTTTTCCAACCTTCGTTCTCTGATTCTAAGTTAGTTGATTAGTGATTAAGTTGGGTTTAAACCTGTGAATTCTGGATTACCGTTCTAAATTGAAGTAGACTATAACGATCAGAAAGCATTGGTTTTAGAGTTAGACTTAATGAATTAGTAAGTGGCAGAACTTAGGTTTTATGTGGTCAAATATTTAATCTCTTGGGAGTGTCAGTTTCTTCATTTCTATTATGAGACCATTAATATTATCTACCTTAGGATTGTGAGGATTTAAGTGAAGTAATGCACATAAAACACATCTCACAATGTCATGTAATAAATGTTTAGCACATTTTGCCTATTATTATGGTTACCTGGATCCCACTTCTCACCTAAGCTTGCCCTGCACATTTGGTTTATAGGCTCTTAGAGGTATTAGAGGCACAAATCCACCCCAGATTTGTAGTAGGCCTATGATAAGGGAGCTGAATAATTCATTTGACACATTAATTAGTTTATGTATCTTTAGAATAGTGCTTGGTGCATAGTCACTGCTATGTAAATGTTTACTGTTAATAAGATTCTATGTGCCAGGGCTGGCCTGGTGTCATAGTGGTTAAGTTTGTGTGCTCTGCTTCAGCAGCCTGGGCTTTGCTGGTTTGGATCCCAAGTGTGGACCTATACTGCTCATCAAGCCACACTGTGGTGGTGTCCCACATACAAAATAGAGGAAGATTGCCACAGATGTTAGCTCAGGGCAAATATTCCTCAAGCAAAAAGAGGAAGCTTGGCAAAGGATGTCAGCTCAGGGCCAGTCTTCCTCACCAAAATAATAATAATAATAATAATATTCTATGTACCAGATGTAGGGGATATAGAGACAGTTGGTTCCCTTAGGAAGCTCAAAGTCCAGTGGAAGAGATGGTAAATAATAGATACAGTTCAGGGGGCCAGCCCCATGGCGCAGCGGTTAAGTGCACACATTCCACTTCAGCGGCCTGGGGTTTGCTGGTTTGGATCCCGGATGTGGACCTGGCATGCTGTGGTAGGCATCCCACATATAAAGTAGAGGAAGATGGGCATGTATATGGGTTCAGGGCCAGTCTTCCTCAGCAAAAAGAGGAGGATTGGCAGTAGTTAGCTCAGGGCTAATCTTCAAAAAAAAAAGAAAGAAATAGATACAGTTCAGTGTGGGAAATGCAGTGGTAGTATTATACAGTGTATGGTGGTGTGGTGATACAGGAGTTGGATGATGGAGAAAGCTAATAGCTGCCTACGTAGGACCCTCATACAAACTGGCATTTGAGCCTTGAGAGCTTAAGAGCTTCATCTAGCCAAGACTGGTTCAGTTGGATTATATTGCTCGTTATTTTAAAACAGAAAAGGCTTTTTCCTCTCTGGTTACAAAAGTTACATTTAATTGTATAAAAATTGGAAAATACAGAAAAAATATAATAAAATCCACAATCCCATTATCCAGAGAAAACTACTCTTATGTGTTGGTACATTTCCTTTTAGTCTCTTTTCTCTGTATGTATTTGTATAATTAAAAACAAACTAGATAATTTATATTCTAGTTTTTAATTTAACATTATAACAATGAAAAATTTTATTAATATTTTCAATGGTTATATAACCATAACATGTAGAAATACTGTAATTTGATGTTTTCTTCTATAATCTTTTCTCCCTACCTTTAAAGCCCAAATATGCAGAATTTACAGGGATGTCAGAATTTACTAATAATTTTGTTATAGTAATTTACCCTTATTCAATTATTGTCTTAAAATTTTCCCCAAATGAAATCATTCAATGTGAATGTCTTTGTACGTTAATCTGTGTCTTCATAGGTTGGTCATTTTATTAGGATGGATTTCAAAAAGTGGGATTTCTAGATTATGATTTCTTTGTTTTGTTTTTAAGTGGATTGCCCCTGATGGTGATTATCCATAAGTCCTGGTGTGGAGCTTGCAAAGGTAAGTGCAAATGATCAAACTTCAGATGTGTTCTCAAATATTAACATGTAACAAATATTAACACTGACTTTGGCCTAGCACTCGTGATTGCTTTAAGAAATTCGTGACATAGATTCCCACCCCTCATGAAATTTACAATTATATTTGCAAGGGGTTGGAGGATGAGGCAATTAAGATAGAGTTATGTAGAGTGTGGGATTAAGTGCTATAATAGTTCTGTGGATGGTAAATATTAGACGAAGCTGAAATGTACAGAGAGAGATGAGAAGTGGTTAGTGAAGTCTTTCCAGAGGAGGTGGGAACCAAATTAGAGCCCAAGGTTATCTTACTTCGTAGCATGTATTCTTTCTGCTATACTACCCTGCCACTTCCCAGTCAGATATTTTCTTTTGTATGGTATGCTATACTTAATAAAATTCCTAGTTGGAAAAAGAGTATAAAATTATTGTAAATAGTTAGTGTAATAATATATATACATTAGTGGTAGAGTATTTTTACTTTATTACTTCTTCAATAGAAGATATTAAAATGTGTAAAAAAAGCAAATAGTAATAATTTTTTCATTTGTATGCCATTATCCATATTTTATAAATGAGGTAAAAGCTTCAGAAAAATGAAGTCAGTCATTCAAGGCCACATGGCTATGCAAGTAAGTGGCAGAAGCAAGACCAGAAGTCAAATGTCCTGATTTTTGATTCTTAAGATTAAAAAAAGGAAAAGAAAGGTCAGTTTTATGAATCAATTCAGCAAATTAGGGTTTGGATATGACAATGATGTTTTCTTCTATTCCAAAATCTTTTTTTCCCCCCTAGCATTAAAGCCCAAATTTGCAGAATCTACAGAAATTTCAGAACTTTCTCATAATTTTGTTATGGTAAATCTTGAGGTAAGACTTCTGGAGTTTCTCCTTTCTGCTATGATTTTGAGTCTTTACTATTTTAGAATTAATATCATTAATGGTATAAAATCTTATTCAGCAGAGCTGGCTGTGTTTGTGTTTTTCTCTTGACCTCTAATACTAAGGCTTGCATCAGATATGGTAGAAAGCCATCCAGCCTCCACTTGTGGGAGGAAGTAGGAGAGGAGAAATTGGAAAAGATGACTAAATTGTAAGGTGCCTTTATTTTTAGTGTCTGATTATGACATGTTTTTACGTCTTTGTATAGCTGAACTAAAGGTGTAGTCACACATATAGGCCGCAACTCCTGTAAAGTGTGATTCAGTTGAAAACCTACTCTCTGCTGGGTTTATATGTACAACCTTCCTATTTCTTTATTAGATATCCTTTATGTATTTCACATAGACCAGAGTTCTCAGAATCCCAAATCGGAATACCAGATCTTTGAGTTAGAAGGGGTTTTTAGGCTATTGGTACTATCCTCATTTTACAGAAAGAACATCTTAGGCCTGAAGGAGTTAGGTGATTTAGTCAAGATCATAGAGCTTTAGAAGTGATGAGAATACATACTATGGCCTAGCTGTGCTGTCTTTTAGACTATACTCTTCAAATGTGGGATCCTTGGATGCTCTATAATGATACTTCTAGCCCTGTGTTTCTGTAAAATAGCAGTCTATCGCCTTAACCACTTGGCCGCCTTGTCACATTGTTTCTGTAAAATAATATTTACTTAAACATAGAGCTGGAAATCTTCTGAACACATTAACAGTTAATGTTGAGGCAGTAAAGGGATTGCTTATGTAGCTGCTGGATAGCCTGAATGCTGATACCCTTCACTCAAGGCAAAGTTACATGACTGTTGGAAGAAATGACCCCATTTAACTTCTGAAATGGGAACCACACATAAATGACAAAATTGCTATTGATTCCTATG